TATTATTACCATGATTTTATTATGGTTTCGAGATCTCATTTGAATGACAAGTAGAAACCATAGTTTGTGGTTCAGATATAATGGTAAACTTGGGAAACTATGTTTTCCAAAAGGGACAGAGACAGAGCATGAAAAGAAGTTGGGGGGGGGGAGCATGCAAGCAATGGAACCATTCAGGTAATACAAAGCATGGTTTGGCATTATATATGAACCGAGCAAATGTGACTCTGGCATGAAAAAACAGTAAAAGTATTTAAAATTGAAGGCTAGAAAAGAGGTTAATAGATAATCTTTATGTAAAACAAATTCAATTATGATAAATTAGTGGAGTGCTATATCATTGGTGGTTTGAATAATTGTATTCTCTATGCACCATGCAGTCAGACCTCCAAGCAAAGTTAAAATAAACAGCATTATCATCCCCAGAGAAAATCCTGAGGGATCATACAGTTGAGGATGTTTAAGAATTCTAAAGTGCAACAGGATTAATGAAAGCACAAGCTAAATCCCTCAAAAAGTTATTCTTCCATTTCACAACTCTTATATATATTTAGTTCCTCCATTTAAAACCACACATTTAATTCACATAGTGGGGTATCTTAAGACAAACCTCTTTTAAAACACTAACAATCAGATACCTCTCCATTTCCAATCAATAGAACAATCATTATTCCTTTTAGCAATCTTCCTATTGATTTTACTCAGGTATTATTATATCTAATCAATCAATCAATCTCCATCTTGCTTCATCTTTTCAGAAAGGGAAAGCAAGAGAGCTTTATGCAGCATTTTGCTTCAGGAATAATGTAATTTCATAAAATAATGATATCAACAACTATAAGATAGCATGCAAAGTGTGGTCATTCAGTGTGACCACAGAGTTGGTCATGCTCAGTGTAACTAGATTTTCTTTCCTTTGAACAGCAGAATGCCATGCCATATCAAAAGCTGTTTTGGAAAATACTTTGTTTCAAAAGCAATTTGCCATGTTACTGGCAATAGAGTTGCTGTTTGATAAACCCTCTTGGTCCCACAGAACAAGTCAGGAGGTTCTTTGGATCCCAACCAATGTTTGTGCAGCACTTCAAACAGTACATGTATCAAATACATGATTTCTGTAATCCTTACAACCACATAAAGCATGGCCAGTATTCTTTGCTTACTGCAAGGGGGGTTGGGATAGGGATTTGCCTCAGGCCATGTTGGGAGATTATGCTTTAGTTAAGACGAAACAGGGTCTTTCTGGCTCTATCCTGCAGCAGTTCATAAGATCTAATTACTACACAGGTTTTAGAATTCTTGGCTTTCATCTTTACAATGGGATTTAAAAGTTGGTAAAGATTAAGGCAGCCAGGTACACTCACATTTGATTTCTGTTCTCTGCACAGAGCTTATCTGTGTTTAGAAAAATGGAACAGCAATTTTAACATTTCCTGTAGCTATCACTGCTCTTTCATTTGAAATAAAACTCAAGATTCTCTGACTTTAGGGGGAAAGGAAGCAGCCCTAGAGCAGTAACATGGTCTTGTGATGTTATTAGTTATAAGAATCTTCATGATAAAACCAACTCACACCTTGATATTTTTGATGTCTAAACTGGATCCAGCTTCTAGAAGGAGATCTACAGCACTAACATTTCCTGCGGCAATGGCACAATGCAATGCAGTGTTCTTTTCTATGTTGTCTACAGCATTCAGAGAAGGATTAAACTTTAATAAAAAACGAGTAGGTTCCAGCCTAGAAGGAAGTAAAGGTATATAAAGAAATTAGCCAAGACAAGGCACCTCACTGCAGAATGCTCTCCATTACTAAATAATTTTCTTAACATTAGATGTGGCAAGTGGTATCTGGGAACCTAAGAAAACCTAAACATTTAAGGTAAACAGATACCTAGGAAGGCTGAGGTGTCTCTACCACCCGGTATAGTATCCAGGTCCCAAAAGCTACTGCTGCAAGGACAGCTCTCTCTTGGTTCTTTCCTCTATTTACCTCCCATGCACAGAGGGCAACCACAAGCACTGATGAGATTTTACACACCTACTATAAGATGAACTGAACATCCCCTCAGTCAGCAAAGGAAAATGGGCTGATCTTATGAAGCAGACCTTCACCATCTTCCCCCTATCCCAGACGTCCGTTTTGACCGCTGAGAAGGTGATGGCGGGGGTTGGCCCAGCGTTATGAACAAATTACCATAGGGCATGAAGAGAGAGCAGTGCAGAGGGAGAAGTGGGTGAAATCATTGGTGCAAGAGGCTTTGCTAGCTTCAGAGAGGGGAATTTTCACTCACTTCCCTTTCCTCACTATAGTTGTACAGCATTTTGTTCTTGCAGATCTCCCAGCCCCCAGCATCAGCTTTTCAAGTGATACTGGGAAAGGAGGAAGGTGGTAAAAATCCACCAATGCCTTCTGCTTGCACTTAATAGATCCAACTCAAAATTAATGGGAACAGCTCATGTTGGCAAAAGACCACCCGAGCGAACAGAGATGTTTAGGTAAATGTATCTGCCGTAACTGAACTGGTCAGAACAGAACTGCATATTGTGATATTTTCCTAAAGATTACTTGTACAAGGCCATCATAAAAGTTAGACTACTACACTAAGGTAGCTTCCATGGAAATCATTGGATCTGGTTAGCTCAGTGCAAGAACACAACACTTATTAATGGGTAAGATATTGTAAGTGGGCCAGAAATATGAGAAGAGATCAACAGAAGCAGTATTATCATGGGACTATGTTTCTAATGATCTTTGGCATTGTAACCTGGAGTATCTTTCAGTGACAAAAATCAGATTCATCATAATAAAAGAAAATTAAGCTGTAATGCAAAAAATCTGTTATTAAGAACGCTTTGCAAATCAACACTGAAATCAGTACTGTGCTAGCGAAACACTACATTAGAGAATACATTTTATGCTACACAAGATAACTAGCATCTGAAAAAACTCACAAGATGCTCTTTTGTTTGAAGATTTTTTAGATGGTAGGGATAAGCTATAACATACTGGAACAATAACAGTTGCAGCAGGAAGAAAGAAACACTGTGGATTATTTTATCAAAAAGGCCCCACCTTCACAATAATTGGTGAACGACAGCTCTCTCTTGGTTCTTTCCTCTGTTTACCTCCCATGCACAGAGGGCAACCACAAGCACTGATGGGATTTTACACACCTACTATAAGATGAACTGAACATCCCTTCAGTCAGCAAAGGAAAATGGGCTGATCTTATGAAGCAGACCTTCACCATCTTCCCCCTATCCCAGAAGTCCCTTTTGACCACTGAGAAGGTGATGGCAGGGGTTGGCCCAGCGTTATGAACAAATTACCATAGGGCATGAAGAGAGAGCAGTGCAGAGGGAGAAGTTGTAGCAGCAAGAAAGAAACACTTTGGATTATTTTATCAAAAAGGCCCCACCCTCACAATAATTGGTGAACATGGGTATATCAGTTTCATAGAAGGTGTGCTTATAGGGGCCACATCATACTTTCTACAATAAAATCCAGCCTTCAACAGCTTCCCAGTTATCTGTGAACAATTGCTCTGGAAATAAACATCTGACCTCTTATTTCTCCATAAAAGATCTCTTGAGCAGGTATGGCAAAACAATAAGATAAGCAGTTTGTTATTTATACTCATACTCACCCAAGTACTTTATGGGCTGCTAGAATAAGAGGGGTTTGTCCATTGTGATCTGTTGTATCTACACTCTGTATATGAAAAGATACTAATATTTCAGGAAATGAAGTTAACAGCCACGTCTACAACTAGAGGTATAAACTGACACTGTTCTACTGAATTAAATGAAACCACATATTCCATTAACCATTTATAGTTTCCTAACTCGAGTAAGGAATGATCGACTGGGAATACTAACAGTGCAATCCTAAACAGACTTACATCCTCCTGAATTGACTGAAGTCAATGGGTGTACAAGAGACTATCTCTGTCTAGACTGTAGTGTTACTAATTTTTAAACAGTATACAGCAAGTAACATTACTTTTCAAAAATAAGCACAAAACACTAAGAAAGTCATGGGAGAAATTGTAAATGAATATCTGTTACATATCTGTTAAATTTTCAGAATTACAAAATTTGAATCCGAAATGTGTTATCAAACATAATGTATGTTCAGGCTTGAAGCAACTCATACTAGCAGTGCTGATAACAAGAGGCGCACTCATTTGTTGTGACAAAAAATGCCTATGTTACAATTAATGGCTGCTGTGCCTGTAAAATTATGCAGTGAGAAGTTTATGGCAGCACAAACACTAGGACTCAGCTATGATCAGTTTGTTTGGTTTTTTTAATTCATTCAGGTTTTTCCCCACCCTTCTTCTAATAAGCTCTCAGCAGCATCCTTGGTTCTATCCCTCCCTATTTATCCACACAGCATGATTAGGCTGAGAAATGGTGCCTGGCCCAAGGTCATCCAGTGCGCTATATGGTATAGTGGGGATCTGAATCCTAATCTCCCCTGTCTAAAACAATAACCATTACACTATAATGTTTATAAAGTTACATAATAGCACCAAACAAAATAAGTCACAGTTAGAAAGTAAAACATAGGACAGTGTACTAAAAAACATACCTGACCATATGATATGAAGTAAGCTATGATGGGCATGTGCTGAAAAAGCACAGCCAAATGCAGGCTGCTGTATCCTTCACCATCAATGAGAGCTGGGTCTGCTCCAAATTTTAATAACAATATAACCATAGATAAATGTCCTTGTCTGGAAAAAGACAGAAGCTATTAGTTTAAAAACACTTCTCTATGGATTCTATCAGTAATTTTTTTACAAATGTGTTGAATCCTATGCACTGAGTTGTTCTTGTGGATTAAACCTTTCCCACCTCCAACTCCTTCCTGCAGCCTGCAGTGCTTCCTGAAATCCAGTTTCAGGGGACTGCTGAATCCTAGGGAACAGCATGGGGTAGATGCAGTGGGACAGGGGATTCACAGAAATCTCACATGAGGCATAGGACCCTAGAGTTCTCTGATATAGGATTATGCATTTAAAACAACACTTGTTCATAACAGCCAAAATACTGGTAGTTAGCAAACAAAATAGAGATAGCCCTACGAGGTCATGGCTGTGAAAAAACACAGGAAGATAGCATAAATGACTGAATAGTTATGTAAATAAAATAAAACATACTCAAACTATAGAAAATTTTAAAGAAAAAAATCACTTTCAACTTCTTCCAAAATTCTATAAATAGAAATAATTTTGTTTCCGAACGGGATCTGTTAATTTCTCAAAACTTCATGGGTAACTTTGCGCTACAACCCTTTTCTAGACAGTGAGTGTCTGTACTTAATTTGTACTTACCTGGAACACTATATAAATTACTGGATCTGCTTAAACAATTAGAACTCGACAAAAATCTTGCACTGTGTGCATATGGCTACAAATATCCTAAGGAGTCTATGAAAATGCCAGCACATCAGTGGCTATGTAGCCTTCTGCTTGTGCTCATAGATCTCTAGATTGAGTCTAGTATCCCAATTGTTGGAGATTCAACATAAACAACTGTTCTGGAATTTAATGTAAATTTTCACAGTGTGTAGAATGTATGCATTCTCATAGGTTTCTTTTCATTATTGAGCAGAGGATAGCCTGATTATTCACTGAATCTGCTTATCAGACATTTTCTTTCTCATTTTCCTACTGCACAGTTAGTGCCCTTGAGAAAATTATTCACCTAGCATAAGGCAGCTATGTTACAGTAACTTCCCATGCCATCATAAATTCCAGGAAAAAGAACACTGACACTGCAACTGGAAACTGGTCCTTAGCCTTCACAGGCTTGCTATTGTATCATTTGTATCCTATGTAGATAGGGTTGCCAACCCCCCCGGTTTGCCAGGGGTCCCCCGTTTTTTGGGGGGGTTCTACCCGCCGCCGGCCAAATGGCCGGCGGGGGAAGCCCCACCCCTAACACCCACAGCCACCCATCTCTCTCCCTTTAAGTGTGTGGAACCCGTGTTTCCTCCCAAGCCTGATCTCCGCAAGCTTGCAGGGAAATGCCAGCTTCATGCTCTTAAAAGGGAAATGCGGCTGCTCTTAAATGGGAAATGCCGGATCCTGCATTTAAAAGGGAAACACCAGCTCCTTTAAGTGCAGGGAACTGCCGTTTCTGGAGATCTGGTGCAGCAACAGACGTCTCCAACGTAACGTCATCACATCGGGGATACCCTGCCCCCTCCAGGAACGCCCCCAAAGTCCACAGCTGGGGGTGGAAGATGGACTTGGCAACCCTATATGTAGATGTTATCTTTTTGCATGTTGAAAAAGAGGCAATTCAGCAGAAAGATGCCTTTTCATATATTCACACACTATACCATTTGAATATAAATTTTCCAGATCTTTTCTGCATAGGCTTTGGTAAGAATTTGAATTTATTTTTAGATTTGACTTAGATAGAATAGAAATGTCATGCATTCACATTTATTTGTAATAGCTCTTACATATGCCAGTGTGATTTGTTTATCTTGGATAGTTAAATATCTTATTTTATCATGTTTAGTTAGATTAAACTTTTTGAAAAACACAGAGGAATTACTGGCTGAGAGAAACCAAGATTTTCACACTGGACATGGTATAAATAAATTTCTGATTTTCCCTTCAAGTCAGAAGCCTGGGCCCTATAAATGATGAGCGCTTGAAGGAGCACTCATTCAACCACTTGGGAGTGTGATCTAGTGGTTTGTACGTGGTTTTAATTTTACCAAAGAGAAATTTAGGTTTCATGTAGCTGTTATTTTGGTAATAACCCCTCACAGCAAGTCTTTAAGACTGGCACACAACCATTCAACTACCAGGATACTCATTTGTAGCAAAATCATTTTCAAAAAATCAAAATCTAGTTTCCCTTAACAGACCACACCAGCACACACTACAGTTCATATACATTAAGTCAATTCGTATAAGTCGTATTGTTAAGTTCCATACCTAACAGCCCAATGAAGCGGAGTTGAATTTAAGTCCCCTCCTAGTTGATCTACTACTGCACCTTTAGAAATAAAGAACCTGAACAAGAACAACAATACAAGTCACTGCATAAATAATGATGTATCAATACCAAGACAAAAGTATGCACAGATGCCCAAGCAAAACCTTTTGGGTCAGGTAGATATATGTCTACTTCAGCAAAAATATCACTGAACATCTACCTACTGAATAATTTAAGGAACAAAGTATCCAGTAAACGATAATACACTCACATGCCAAACTATGTGCGGAGCACTTTATCACTACCTTAATATTCTTATAACTTCAATACTGTTTGGGTAAAGGCACTGGGATAATTTTAGAAAAGTCACCAGAAATGCTGTTTCAAAACTGGTCTCTCAATGAAACAAATATGGCAGCGTTAATTGCTAAAAATGTATCATTATACATGTAGGAACAAACAAGTTCTATCAGATTTTTAATTATAGCAATACAACAATGGCCAGGATACAAAGAACCAACACATTGTTTATTTGTACCTTAGAGGGCTTTAGACTATTTTTCTTTAAACAGCAGCACCCCATTTTGCCCTGCCTGCTACTTTTAGAGTGGTATTTTAAACACACTTCACAACAGGAGTCAGCTGCTCAAAGCCCAAAATTCACATACATTACCATAAGCTCTTTGTGTGAACCTAAGCAGCATTTTACTTCCTGGCTAATATTCATACCCAAATAGCCTGGGCCCAACAAACCCAAGAGACAATTGATTCAGCCCCAGGAACTGTTAGGAAAATAGTCACTGGTACTCTTCCACAATTACTAGTGGAAGTGTTTCCACAACACTATAGTTAAGCAGGTTTTGTAGCAGGTCTCGTGGTTTTACTTGTGCATCTTTTATCAGTACCAGAGGAAAGATCGAGGAAATATGATGTAGTAACAAAGAGAGGTCTTTCCAATACACCTGCAAGATAGTCTTTTGTTCACATAGCCAGATGGGATGTTAATATACAAATATGCAAGATGATCTAGAACTGGTTGTAGAAAGGATAACTCTTTCAAGTGCCCTCATATATCTTCTTCTTTTGTGTTTTATAACTTTTGCTTTATTTATATTGTAAGCTGCTTTGAGTTCCACAAGGTAGAAAGGCAGCTAATAAATGTTATAAAAATGCTGGGTTCTAATTGTGAAATTAATAATGCACTTTTGTTAAGCAAGTTACTCTGAAATACTCTTTTTTAAAGTTTTCTATTTTCAAATTAAGACATTACAGCAAAGAACACAACAAATAAGATTTTACCTACAGGTACTGGAAATAAAGTTTTTGATGTAAATTGTAACTCAATAATATTTGATCTCAAGTCTTAGAAAAGGTACACATGTTGAACAGTAATAAAATGATATTAGAGTAAGTATACACATAGATGTGCTTTTGAAGTTAAATAGTACATTCTGACAGATTCTCTTTAAAAATACATTCATCCCTAATTTGTTTATAGGCACAAACTCATACAATCTCTCACACACATTAACTTACTTTACAAGTTCCAGTCGATTATTGATTGCTGCCCAGTGAAGAAGGGTTACATTTTCTTTGTCTGGTTGCCTTACGTCATATCCTGCCTCTACCAACTCCTGGCACCGTTCCAAAAGGCCATATCTAAAAGAACAAGAAAAAATCCATTTTACTTACATACTCTTAATTACTGTGAATTACGTTTGAATGGCACAATGGAAGAAGGTATACCTTTACTCCAGTAACATATGTGATTGTGAACACTTCATTTCCTAACTTTATGAGAGTGGACAATATAAAGAGGATACAGAATTATACCCTTTTGCCATACATCCAGGTCATATTTGATGTTAGGAACTGAGGCTGACCTAAAAACCAAAGCTTCTAGTCTTGCTTGTTGAAGGATTAAAGGACACTGGAAGTTTCTGTCAAGCACACACATAATTGCTCAGTTATAACCCAAATGTACCCGAACTGGCAATCGGGAACAAAAAGAGGAGAAGAAAAACTTAACCCAAATAAGTTGAATTAAGAAACCAAAAGGTTAATTACCACAAATATAAGGACCAAATAATATCAATTAAAACATATAATTAAAACATATAACATAAATCAAAACAATATTATCACTTTCACTTGTTATTGGCTCCAAATTGCATACCACTTTCACTTGCTATTGACTCTAAATTGCATGAGAATATACTTTCTTTGGACCAAGAGAGAAAGACACAAAATTGAAGACACAAAAGGGTCGCCAGTTCCCAGGTGAAGGCAGGGATCTCCCAATTTTTGGGGGTGCCCCCAGATGCCAGCCAGCTGGCCGGCAGAGGAGAAGCCCTGCCCTGCCCCCAACAGTTGTCCATGGCTCCAGTTGAAAAGAGCAGGGGCCGTGCATGCCTGCCCTGCAATCAGTGAATTTGTTGCTTGTAGGGCAGAAGCCCATGCTCTTTTGAAGCGGGGGCTGTCTGTGCCTGCCCCGCAAGCGGTAAGCTTGCCACTTGCAGGGCAGGCACGGGCTGTCCACGCTTCCCCCCAACCATTTAAAGGGAAGGGTCTCTTTAAATAATTGGGGGAAAGCGGGGAGGGGGGCTTGTGCACAGGGCGCTGCATCCCTGATGCGATGATGTCACTCTGTGTGACATCATCGCAGTGGGGATGGCCCCACCCCCTCCTGGCACCCTCCCCCAACCCTAAGACACAAGCACATGACCACGGCAGAAGGTATTTGAAAATTAGGCCACTGGATTCTACCCTTGCCTTGAATCATTGGGATTTCTTATAAAATCATTTTTAATTGGTCCTATTTTCAGTATTTATTGTTTTACTTGGAGCTAATGTGCAATATATGTGTTTGACTACTGAGGCAGGGCAAATTGGCCGAAACCCGTATGATCTTGGTCACATATGTTTTCTGTTTGATACTTATGTATGATTTTATCCTGTTTTGAGGCTACTATTGGGCCTATATCTGTTTTTATCTAATTTGTAATACATACATGAATTTTGATATATTTGATAATATTTATATGTTTTTGATTGATTGTATTTGGCCCTTATATTTGTGGTAATTAACCTTTTGTTTCCTTAATCCAAAACTGGCAATTACATTAAGAGAACAAAACCTTGCTGTCTACTGAAAAGAAGCTATTCTGGCTGTTTTTGCAAAAGTTACTATTCATGTAGAGGGGATGAAATTACTGGTTAAGAAATGGAAAAATTTCCCAGGAAATCCCTAAAAACAGAAAATTCCTACTGACAGAATTAATTAGGATTGTTTTAAAAAGCTTTTCTTCAAAATTTTGATTTGATTTAAAGATATGGCCATCATAAAGGTAAAGGTAAAGGTTCCCTTGCTCGAAAGCCAGTCGAATCCGACTCTAGGGTTGCGGTGCTCATCTCCGTTTCAAAGCCGAAGAGCCAGAGCTGTCTGAAGACGTTTCCGTGGTCATGTGGCCGGCATGACTAAACACCAAGGTGCGTGGAACATTGTTACCTTCCCACTGAAGTGGTAGCTATTTATCTAGTTGCAATTTCTTGCTTTCGAACTGCTAGGTTGGCAGGAGCTGGAACTAGAGACGGGAGCTCATTCCGTCATGCGGCAACTCGGGTCTCGAAATGCTGTCTTTCTGTCTTTCTACAAGTTAATTGTTTATGTATGCCCACATATGCAATTTAAACATGTGGAATTACTCATATATTCCAAACTAAGGCTGTGCTGGAAACATGGGAAAGTGTGCATTGTCTCTTGCTGTCCTCTTGAATAAAACTGACCTACCTTCGCGTGAACCATGTGAAGCACCTGTCTTAAAAGAATACCTGCACTGGATTCTTGACCAAATACTACTTAATCATGATTGTGAGTTTTCTTTTGCACAATAGTCTCTTATACAGAATCCAAAACGTATCAACATTTGGAATGTATTCTATCATCCTCTAATACATGTGAATTGTAATATATTGTTTTACATTGGTTTTATGGCATGCCTTATGTTTCTTTGGAATATGGTTTGCTGATTAAATTCATGGAAAATGTGTGATTTTAGAGAACAGAGAAAGAGTTTCTAGATGTTCATTTCTTCCAGGAAGTTAACAGAACAAGAATCTCAATAGCAGGAGAAAGTTTTCATCTGACAAATAGGCTACTCACTGGTACGAGGAAGAGAAACAATTAAATTGGCAACTAACCACCCCATCTCTTCCTATATGTTAAGGAAATTGTTTCACTGTATCTGAAGAAGTGTGCTTGCACACGAAAGCTTATACCTCGAATAAAACTGTGTTGGTCTTAAAGGTGCCACTGGACTCAAACTTTGTTCTAATGAAATCGATGTGTGTCTGTGGGAGCTTACCTCTTTAAATACAGCAATTTTACTTGTCTCTGCCTAAGATGTATGTGTATATGCATTGTTTGAGCCCTCAAGAACTAGTTTCTGTATCTCCCCCTAGCAGGGTTGCTAACCTCCATACTGTGGCTGGGGATCACCTGGGATAACCACTGATCTCGAGGCAACAGAGACCAGTTCGCCTGGAGAAAACAACCACTTTGGAAGGTGGGCTCTGGCACTGGACCCCATTGAAGTCCCTCCCCTTCCCAAACCCTGCCCTCCTCAGGCTCCACCCCCCCCAAACTTCCAGGTGTTTCCCAACCCAGAGCTGGCAACCCTACCCTTAAGGCCTATATAGAAGGTTTCTCACTAGGCTCCTGTGTTTTGTGTTGAGATTGTAGTCTTTCAGTGTCTGAGAGTGTTCTCCAGAATAAATGTTTTCTCCCTGCTGGAAGCCATAAAGAAACTTATTAAAGTTACCAGAGTTTACTGTCTATTGGTTACAGAGCTGGTCAGGTAAGCTTTCCCATACCCAATGGGCCTCAGAGTACACTACATTCTCAAACACAGTCTTGTTGAAACTGAATACATACATGTGTAAAACATCTGCTCTAATAAAATATCCAGGGCACTTACTGGGTTGCTTTGACAATATCGAAGTTGCTGCAGTCCCCCACAAAAGGAAGGTGATCTTGCTCTTTGGGTAGATCTTTATGTTCATGCCTGTCAGGCCAGTTGTGGCCATGATGACCAAGAGGAGTGTGGCTGTGGTTTTTACACTGTTGATTAACAACAAACATTTCACAATTGTTTTCCTCATTGGGTTGTATACTTACAAGCTGAAAGAGCATGATAATAGTCACAATTTGGCACTTGCTGTATACTGTTGTCTTCCATGCAGGGAAAAGGCCCACACACAGATCACAAAGTCAGCACTCAGTGAATCTGCTGTAGAAGACATTTGTGTGACTGTTCTTAGCAGTGGCTAGTACAGTCCTGAGGAAAGGTCTGAAAAATGGTTAGGTGCAGTCACGTGCCACGTCTTCCCATAGTGAAAGGGAGGAAGAGAGGATTTGTGCACGAAAGGTGAGGTGAGAGAGGCCATAATGTTCCCAAAATGCTATTTCATCAGTAAGCTAGCAAGAGCCAGGTGACATACTGACATACTTCATATTAAGGTACTTCTATTGAGGAACACTGAGCAGAGTGCAATTTAAATATACAGTATTCATACACAGGAGCAGAGGTCATTTCGGGGGGAACGCGGGGGAACACAGTTCCCCCGGGTGAGGTGCAGGGAGGCGGGGCACATGATGAAGCCCCGCCCCCTGCTTCCGGCCGCCCTGCTTCCAGCCCTCATTCAGCCAGGAGGAGGCAGGAGAAGAGGGAGGGTAAGTTGCTTCCTCCCCGCCTCTCCCCACCCCTGCCTGCCTGGGGCCAGGGAGGGCTTTGGCGGGGCTTCCTCGCACTCCCGCTGGCCTTGCAGGTCCACCGCCGGGCCCCTGATGTCAGGGGGTGTGGCATATGCTAATGAGTTATGCTAATGACCTACCTAGCTCTTTTTCTATGAAATGACCCCTGCACAGGAGTACATTGCCTACACATCTTTTCATGCTAGGGAAGGCATATAAAGGACAACACATAACTCTCCTCTGCTTCATCCTTTACGATGGACGCATGAAGCTGCCTCAAGCTGAATCAGACCACTGGTCCATCAAAGTCAGTACTGCCTAAGATGAGCAGGAGCTCTCCAGGGTCTCAGGGAAAGGGCTTTCGATATCCTTTCAACAGGACATGCTAGGGACTGAACCGAGGACCTCCTGCATGCCAAGCAGAGGCGCTTCCATTCAGCCACCACCTCTCCCTACCTTAGGGAGGTACTACCTTAGGGGTGAAGTGAGACCTAATAGTAATGTTAATAAACTGTTTGGAAGTACGAGTATGGGTGTCTCTTAAAAGACAATTCCGTATCCCAATACTATCCTCACTTAGTGTTATGGCACCATCATGGGAGCTGCTTCCACATGGCTGGGTTGCATGCCACTCTGACAGCATTTGTCACTTGTAATTATGTGGGTCAGATAAAAAGTGTGGTTTTCCTATGCTAGCATTATTCCTGGAGATGGGACACAAAGGCACAGGAAAGAATCAGAACATTTTGTGTGTCTTACATTTCCCCCTCCTACCAATATTAAACAGAGCAGTGTGAGAAACAGCCATGCTGAAACTTAACCCCTCAATGCTCCACTGACATCAGGTCTTGGTAAATAGAAAACAGGAATTAACAATTTTAAGGACTTAGAGCCAAACTACCCATTATGACTGGAAATGCGTTGTGTGTCAGTTTCCCCACCCTGACTTTGACTCAGACAATCACATGTCACCAGTGAGGAAACTCATTTGCCAAGAAGTCAGAGCCCCAGTTTGGACCAGGAACACATGGTGGGTGAAAAATGAGCTTCAACCTCCTCCTGCCATGCCATTTCCTGACTTAAAATGGCTCTGAGGAGTTACACATGTACTGATGGACCACACATGCGCCATCCCCCCCGAAACATGCACCTGCCACCACTACACATGGACTGGGCTGAGTTGACTCTTTGGTAGATAGCAAACAAAATTAGCATCATGCTGTCATGAGGGAATGTCCACCTAACCAATTGCTCTATGATGTTTATCGCAGGGTTGTGGCTCAAATTCAAGAAAGACTTCTCTAGTACAGGAGGAAATACTTCTCTAGTAAATATTCTCTAGTACAGGAACAGAAACAGAACATTTTCAAAAATAAACTACTTCCAGGTCCATCAGTATTGTGAAAAATTTAAGGTATACACATATTGATTCCACTTGCAGTTGAGCACATCCCCTTACTGTCCAGTGGAAGAGAAATCCACATTCGTTACGCAAGACAAAGTGTCTGTTGGTTTTGGATGACTGGAAGGTCACAGGGCGACCATTAATATTTCAATCATAAGCACATAAGAGCCCAGTTAGATCCCAATGTAGATCTATC